GAAGGCAGAGAAGTATTTACAAAAACTTGTGTAGGATGCGAACATCCCCACAAAATTACAACCCCACCAACACCTGAAAACCTAAGCCTACTCTCTCACGAATCTGTGTAGAAGTCCAGCACCCACACCGGCTTCCTTCCATGCCTTGATCTCATCCAGGATGTGCCCATGGAGTTGTGCAACTGACATTTGTTGATCTGCGCGGTTAAACATTATGGCGTTGCGTTGCCTCCAATGTTCCCAGGTGTCTGCCGTGACTAAAGTATCGAAACCTCTCTTGTTAGCTCCTTGAAACTACCCCTCGCCTGGTGCCACAACTCAAGTAAAGTGCCGTTCGTGTCCGGTCTTCTCACTGCAATGTTAAGGTCCATGAGGCACCGGTTCCAGATGTCTCTCGCGTAGCCACATTGGATGTGTATGTGTTTTGCGTTATCTTTAACCTGGAGGCAAGTGTAACAGGCCGATGGAGCCTCCTACAAACCATGTCTCGCTCTGCGATCCGAGGTCCAGATCCGATGTTGAACAGTCAACTAGATATGAATCTTGCACTTGAGCGGCGCCCAGTTCCTCCAAATGCATGTGTCGTAAGGGGGCACGCTGCAATCCTGAGCAAAGTCTGTCATAGGCCGAGCGACCCGTGTATACACCCGACGCATTGCACGGCCAAGTGAACACGTCCTCAACTGTCAGATCACGCTGGACCGCGGTGATCGCTTGCTGCAGGTGCAGAAGTTGGATGTGTGCTGTGAAGGACAGTTACCCCTGCACATCAAGCGGCCATGTCGTGCCCAAAAGCGCCTGCTGGACTGTCCTCTGATTCCTCGTCCATTTGATCACCTCGCGTACAATCAGAGGCGCAATATCCGTGGCAGCGAAACCGTGAATCCATCTGTCGCGCCAGAATAGGACCTTTGCACCCTCTCGCACCTTAATATTGACCAGGCTGTGGAACACTTGTCTCGCTTCCTTATCCACGATCTGCGGAGTTCCTTGCCATGGTCTCTCTGGATCCACTCTCCTCAACCATTCCCATATGACCCACAGCGCGAGTTCTTGGGTTTGCAAGTCTTTGACTCCCTGCCACCAAGCATTGCCCACCATTCACCTTTTCCTTGGCCGTCCAAAAGAATGCGCTCATCCATTTATTGAGCTCCTCGTAAAGCCACAGGGGCGCATTCATCACCAAGAAGTGATGTATTGGCCTCAGAAAAGAACGTCAGATACCTTAGCCCCCTCCCCGCTCCTCGCGTAACGCCGTGCGTCCACCCTCCCTCCTGCTGTTCGCCACTCCGGCCACGACGACCACCCCTCTCCTGCTCTTCGCAGGCAGCGCCATCGCCAGGGCTGGGAGCTCGCCGTCCTCCGTGGCCCGCCCCCGCGGGGAGCGCCCCGTCGTCTCCGGCTTTGGCATCTCCTCTGCTTCCGAGCGGTCGGTGGAGGCAGCCGCGCAGGAGGCTGCGCCGGATCTGGCGCTGGAGGTGGAGTCTTGCCGGCGCCTGGTTCCCTAGATGGAGGCGCCGCCGTCGAGGAAGACCCTATGGAAGCGCAGGCGCGAGTTCGGGAAGCCGGAGGTGGCTCTGCTCCCTTCCTCCCCGAGCCGCAGGGAGATCTCGCCGGACATGTGTGGCAAGTGTTTCAGGTGATTGGAAAAGGGGCACTTTCTGTAAGTGCATCTAGTGCCCCTTAGTGATTTTGGTGTATTGAAGACTTATAGGTCAAGGGACTAATATGTTTATGAGTGTACACAGACTCTATAAGTCGATGAGGAGTTTGATAAGTAATGTGAAATTCAACCCCTAAAAATGAATGTCTTCAGCTGAAGACTATAGTTTTTCTGAAGACTTTGAAAGTGAAGAAATTGGTGTGACCTTGAAGACTTGGATATTCATGCGAGGATTATGAAGCGTGAAGACTTTTGTTTTCGTAGTGTCATTTTCTCCTTCTTGAGTCATAGGAAACACCGTACTGCTAACGGGGGTCGAGGTAATACTAAGGAAACTGATTTCCAAGTGATGCTCATCTCAAAATCCTACACCTACCCAATCCTTCGAATAAAGACTTTGGAAATCTCTTATCAGTTCAGTCAAATTTCTTCAGTGACAGAGACATAGATCTTCTGGTCTCTGAGGAATTGGTTCTGACTGGGGAGTTAGGAATTCGCCAGTGCGGATTGCCTACACAGTGAGAAACATGATAGCCTTGAGGAATTCGAACCTCAAATGCGACCGTTGCTGTGCTACGCGCCAGCTGTCCAAAATATCCTACCACCTAACGGTCATATCATTGAAGGGCATTTATGTCTTATCATGTTGGGCTGCTCCCTAGGCTATAAATAGCTGCCCCCTACAACCACCAGTTGGTTGGCTGCTCCGAGAGAAACTAACACTTGTCAATTGAGGGCATCCCATCTTCCGAGGACTTTGAGCAAAAATCATCAAGTGAGTAAAACCCAAAACCCAAACCCAAACACCTACAAACCCAAAGTGTTTGAGCATCACTAAAGAGATTGTTCCTGTGTGGAACAGAGCTTGTTACCTTTGAGGACTATGTATCCTCCAGACGGTTAGGCGTCATGGTCTGAGCATGCAAGAGGAATTGTGGATCACCGAGTGACCAAGTCTGTGAAGGTTTGGAAGTCACCTGTGAAGACTTACCACGAGTGTTGGGTGAGGTCTGTGTGATCTTAGCTCAAGGAGAATACGGTGAGGACTGTGTGTCCGGGAAGGTGTGTCCTCGAGTTTAAATAATCAGCTACTCCAACCAGACGTACAACTATCACAACAGTTGGAACTGGTCTACCAAATCATTGTCTTGACCAAGCCTACTGGTTCTATTTCCTCAACCCTTTCATTTCCTCATCCATGTGTTGATGAACCTGATCATTACTGGTTGAAGACTTTGACTGAAGAATTTCTCTATTTCCTTAATCCAATTTCTTCAGTTACATTGTCTTCAGCCTGCGTATCTCGTGTTTACGCTTTCTGTACTTTGTGTTTGTTTTCCATTTCATCATGATGACTCTGCTATTGCTCTGTTATGCTTATACCTTAGTACTTATTCCCATGCTAGTTGTTCCTGACTTAGGAAATTCCTCACCCTGAAATTTCTTAGCGACGAATCTGTAAAAATCACTTATTCACCTCCCCTCTAGTCAGCTTAATGCACTTTCAATTGATATCAGAGCAAGGTACTCCCTTGTTTTGTGTGATTTTGGTTTACCCACCTGGAGTTCTAGTTATGACGACTGCAGGTATGATCAAGGTCTCGGCTGGGTGTCCTACCTTTGATGGGATGGGCTACCCCTACTTAAAGAACAAGATGCGCATGCATCTTGAGGCAATTGATAACGATCTCTGGTATATTGTGGAAAATGATGTTCCCTCAGTCACTCTGCCTGCAAATGTTGTTCATGTGAAGAGATTCAAGCAACTCGATTCTCAAGCGAAGAATATCATATGTGCCTATCTGAGTAAAGGATAGTACGACAGAGAGAGTGCTCTGGAAATAGCTAAGCTGATTTGGGACAGGCTGTCCAAGGTCAATGAAGGAGTTTCCACTCAACGTGACTCTCGAGTTGATGTTCTTCGCAATCTCTTCAACCGCTTCAAAAGACTCGACAATGAAAATGTTCAGCAAACTTTTGATCGCCTCACTGACATCTCAAATGAGCTTCAAGCACTTGGTGCCACTGACATCACCGACCATGAGGTGGTGAAGAAATTGCTGAGATCACTTGATCCTCATTCGATCTTCTTGCACTGATGATTCAAGAGCGAGCTGATTACAAGTCACTAGATCCGACTGATATCCTCGAGAGGCTAAACACTTATGAGTTCCAGCTTGCTAAGAACAGAGACCTCTATGGACCGAGCTATGGAAGATCACGTGCACTGAAGGCCAAGGCAGTATCTGAGTCTGAAGGTGAAGACTCTGGTAGCAGCCTTGGTGATCCTGAAGAACTAAGCCAGGAGCTAGCAATGCTTGTGAAGAAATTCCAGAAGTTCTCTCGCCGCGGTCGCTTTGGAAAGTCTTCAAGGAATGATGATTCCTCGTCTCGTGGCTACAAAAGGAGAACTTGCCACAAATGCAAGAAACTGTTCACTACATGTCTGATTGTCCTCTGTGGGAAAAGGAATCAAAGAAGAAGAAGTACAAAGATGACGATTCTGATGACTCAAAGAAGAAGAAGAAATCTTCAAAGTCTTATTCATCAAAATCTTCAAAGTCTTCATCTCACAAGAAGAGCAGTTCCAAG